TCAGTCTGAAGGGTCCCCCCCAAATCCTCGGCAAGTGCATATTGTAGAAAGTTTTGGCAACAAGATGTGCTTTTCTTTTAGTTTTGTTTCTCACCAGCTCAAAGCTGACACCCTTGCATGTGGATGTGAAGACTTTTCATCCTAAGGGTCCACACACCATCATTTTTTTTTTTTTTTTTGCTATAAAATTCAGGAATGTGAAGTCACCCGGAGCTCCTTTCCCCCTCAGCAGCTTCTGCTCCTTTAGGGAGCTGATTTGTCCAAGCTGATGCTGTAAGTGCTGCCGGGGCCTGTCCCCCACCCCCCTACCATTTAAGTCCAGTCTGAAAATACTCAGGAAGTCACAGTTATCACAGTGACAGTGAAGAAGGGGAGCTAGTTGGGTAGGTGACAGTTGTGCCCAGGCAGAAGGCACAAAGGAGCTCCAGTGAGAAGACTCGTTAACTGAAGGGCAAGCAGCTTGCCGGAGCCCCGCTTATCTGCCTTCGTGTGCCTGCGGAAAGATGTCTTTGTGCATGCTTACTGTGGAGAGAGGCTTACAAATAGTCTTTTTGAGAAGATACTGTTGGTTGTTGGGAATAGAAGTACTGATTTTTTAAAATTAAAATTTATTTATTTTTATTGGAAAGTCAGATTTACAGAGAGAAGGAGACACAGAGAAAAACATCTTAAATCCTCTGGTTCAACCCCCAAGTGGCTATAACAACTGGAGCTGAGCTGATCTGAAGCCAGGAGCCAGGAGCTTTTTCCAGGTCTCCCAAGTGGTTACAGCACCCCAAGGCTTTGGGCCATCTTCTACTGCTTTCTCCGGCCACAAGCAGGGAGGTGGATGGGAAGTGGAGCAACTGGGACAGGAACCAGTGCCCATATGGAATCCTGGGGAATGCAAGGCAAGGACTTTTAGCCACTAGGCTACCACACCAGGCCCAGTATTGATGTTTAGTAACTGGAAGGAGCAAGCCATTCTCTGGCTCTTGGGATTGCACATCAGAGTGTCAGCAGTGTAATAATATTTCAAACAAGCCTTATCATGTTCCCATGTAGTGAGCCTGTTAGGCAGAAATTTCCATCACTAGGTTCAAAGGTTATAACAAAAAAAGTAATGTTTTTCTCTTTAACTTCCTGGGTAAATAGTGCTCCCTGAATTGAGTAAGTGCGTTGTCTGCCTCAGTGCCGTGTAGTGGGTTTCTTACAATAGATGCCTTGGCTGACATTGCCAGGATTCCTAAATCACATCTATTTCTTCCCCTTAGGTTAAATCATTGACTACCAGACAGATGCCTGAAAACTCTCTTTTGGATGGTTCTGAGCCAGTGATATGTGCCAGGTGTCCTTGGCCATTGGGGCTTACTGGGCATTGCTGAGAGTTGCTGGTCTCACAGTTATGCTTCATGCCACGTCAGAGTTTCAACTTCATACATTTCTCTCTCTCTCTCTCTCTCACACTTTAAAAGATTTATGTGTGTATTTGCAAGGCAGAGTTATAGTGAGAGTGCCCCCACAACACACACACAACACACACACACACACACACACACACACACCTCTCCTTTGCTGGTTCAGTAATGGCCAGATTTGAGCCAGTACGAAGCCAGAAGCAGGAGTTTGTTCCAGGTTTCCCACATGGGTAAAGGGGCCGAAGGAGTAAGTTCATCTTCTGCTTTCCCAGGTGTAAAAGCAGGGAGCTGTGTCAGAAGTGGAGCAGCTGGGTCTTGAACAGATAGCCTTATGGGATGCCGGCACTGGAGGGAGTGGGTTTACCCACTACACCACAGTGCTGACTTCTACACTTGCCCTTACGTTCACATTTTCCCCTAGTACTTATTCTACTTACTACATCAATTCTGCCTCTCTGTCCAAACCCAGTGTCCTGCCATCTTTTACCCCACCCTGAGAAATTCCAAAAATTTTTCATGGTTTGTTTTGGTGCTTAGTATGGATAAAAACTTTTTTAAAAAATTGTTTTCTTACTTATATGAAAGGCAGATAACACATATCGAGAGAGACAGAAAAACAGAAATAGGCCGAGTTCTACCTGCTGAGTCACTTCCTAAAAGCTTATAGTGTCCTAGGCTGGGTCTGGCTGAAGCAGGAGCCAGGGGCCCCATCCAGGTCTCCCATGTGGGTGGCAGGCATTAGCAGGAAGGTGAGCCAGCAGCAGAGCTGATACTCAACCCAGGAGTTCTGATTTGGGATATGGGTATCGCATGTCTCATGTCTTAACTGTTGGGCCAGAGACCTGCCCTGGAGACAAACTTAACAGTCTTCACGACTGCTGGAGCCTGTGCCCTCTCATCTTTATTGCAAATTGATGTACTAGTTACTTATGTGGTCATTTTTAATCCTTATGGGCAAAATGGATGAATTCCAGGCTAGCGTCTGTATGAATTCTTATCAAATTCAAAAGGGGTCTGGATTCATGGATGTTCAGGAAGCTTATGAATACTGTAAGAGAATGCATTGTGGTGATTGGCAGAACTCTAAGGACTGTCACAGCTGCAAGAGATGTGCTCCACTGTGTCTCCACGTGGGGACAGCCTGCTTGAGTGTCACGGCTCTGGGATTGAACCAGGTCCAGGTGTGTGAACCCGTTGTTCACTCTATGGTCCTGGTGACCTTGGTCTTGTTTTATCTATTCTCATCTTTCAGAATGATATATCAGAGAAGCAATTCCTGCCCATAGCTGCTGTCAGGTTATATCAGATGCAGGCCTGGAGTATGTCCTCTTGTGCTGCACGCTCTTCTTGGGCCACCCAGTTAGTGAGAAAGGAAGGGTGCATTTATGATTTGGGTTTCCCCATTTCTTTGTTCCACATAAACATCTGCTGAGGTTGCCTGTGGGTCTTGAGCAATTTATTGCATGTGTATCTGAATAGATGGTAGTCACCTATCCAATGCCTATTGATAGACATTTCACAATTAAATACAAATTTGTGTGTACCCCTTAGCAAAATACAGTAAAGCGGATTCCTTTAAATCTGGAAGCATCTAGAATCCAGGTTGTTCTGGCTCAGTGGAAACTGGAGGTAATATGGATTGAGAGGAAGTCAGGGGTGATGGCGTTGGTGCTTGCTGCTGCTTCTCAGGGATGCTCAGGCGAGTTGGTTTGCAGTGTGGTTGACGGTGGCCCACAGTGAGGACGGGAGGGTGTCTGGACCGCACAGGTGTCCAAGGAGGAACGTGACCTCTGCAAGAAGGCGCTGTCTGTGTCCTGATTTTACGTTTCTGTGATTTTAACTGAGTGACCAAACAAACAAATAGTTCAATTAGGAAATGGTTGTTTTTAAAGGAGAGTCATTAAGAGTAAGATTGGGACAGATCTACCAAAGTAAGATGTTAGCTGTGTGTGAGCAATGGGCCCCCTGGCTGGAGGAGGGGAGTATGTGGGAGCTAGTTCATGGCTTCTGTTTTTGTACTTTTACAACTTTTCTGCCAGAGTTTTGGAAAGAAATTTTGCAAATAAGCTTCTTCAGTAAACTTTTTTTTATCTTAAGAGCAGTTGATGCTGTGATTAGGGACCTAATGGACTCCCTGAAACTGTGCTGTCTCCAAGAGGCCTTGAAAATGTTCCTGTTATAAAGAAACTGTGTCTGGGTTTCAGGATTTTTTTTTGCACAGAGATCAATCTTTCAATTCCATTTTTGTGTAAATTTTTTGAAGCACCAGGCTAGGTCAAGTTGAACATCAAGCAAAAAATAAATGACTGTGTTGCTGTATCCCCCTGTTTGTGTTTTTTTCCCCACATTTTAGGAGCCTAGCCATTATTTGTGGCACTTCTCAGTGGAGTTTTCCAAACGCTCTAATATGATAATCACAGTGAGCATTATTGGTATTCATTGTGAATTGTCTTGCATTGTCACATGATATTGCAAAGGATCTATCAAACCATGGTAAATCGGTCATCGTGTAGTGACTTTTGATGTTTCTGATTGCTCAAGATACCTGATGTGTTGGATTTAAATCACTCTTTCAAACCACAAAATGCCTTCCTTTATGTAATTCACCGGGGAAGACTCCTCCATGCCTTGGCAGAATAGATTTCTGGGTCTGAATGGGATTGTTTGCAGAAATTGATCCACTGAATCAATTTTATTATATGATTTATAAACACAATTGAAATAAATTGCAGGTGGGAAGAGCCAAACACTTATTTTAAATTAAATAAGGAAAAACCATGACTTTGAGGTCGGCGTTGTTTTGTGGATTCTTCCGTGAGTCTTTTCTCACAGCAGAGGGGTAGCGGGGCTGAAGTGGGAAGCAGCCTTGAGGTGGGCATAGGTCAGTGCCACATGGAAAGGGTCTGCCTTATGATGAATAGGTCAGACTCAACTGTTTCAGAGATTCTAGGAACCTGGGTGTCATTACTTTTGTTTTTAAGGCCATTTAGTAATTTTTCCAAGATTTATTGATTTGAAAGGCAGAGTGACAGAAAGAGACCCAGCAGGGTCACTCCCTCCGTGCCTGCACTCACCGGGGCTGGACTAGGCCCTGCCAAAGCCAAGAGCTGGGAGCGCTGCTCAGGTATGCCATGTGCATAGTGAGGGCCCAGGCTCCTGCAGTGGCTGGCAACCAAGCACCTGAATCACCATCTGCTGCCTCCCAGGGGATGGATGGGCAGGAAGCTGGACCAGCATCAGTGGTGGGATGTGATCCAAGGCATGGGTGTGGAATACAGGTGTCTCAAACAGTAACTTAACCTGCTGCTTGAGATGTGCTTGATTTGCTTATACTTGCATGGACCAAGTTATGATTGAAGGGAAGCAGTGTTTAGATAAGTACTACTGTAGTGGTTATCTCTTTGCTACTCTTTCTGGACCTTTCCATGGTTTTGGGGCATTCCCTGAACCTGCCTTTGGGTCCTTGAAGCCGATGGTCATTTCAGTCTTGTCTGTGGACTTGTCCATCCTGCCTGTCCCTGGGAAATTCATGCTGGCAGAATCCGAACTGGCCCGGTGTTCTGTGCATTGGCTTTCTCTAATCTAAGTCTGTTTAACTTGTAGGAGTGTGCAGACTGGTGCCTAAAATGGAAGTAGATATTAATGGCGAACCCCGAAGTACCCTGAGCACCCTGCCCTTGCCTGTGGCTGAGGCGAGCTCCCCGGGAAAGGCAGACACTGAGAAGCCGCGCTGCTCCAGCACGCCCTGCTCGCCGGTGCGTCGGACCGTGTCAGGCTACCAGATTCTGCACATGGACTCTAATTATCTGGTGGGCTTCACCACAGGCGAGGAACTCCTCAAGCTGGCTCAGAAGTGCACGGGAGGCGAGGAGAGCAAAGGGGAAGCCATGCCTTCTTTGCGCTCCAAACAGCTGGATGCAGGACTGGGGCGCTCCTCAAGGCTCTACAAAGGCAGGAGTCGGTACTACCAGCCCTATGAGATCCCTGCGGTCAATGGCAGGAGGCGCAGGCGGATGCCCAGCTCAGGAGACAAGTGCACTAAATCCTTACCTTATGAACCTTACAAGGCCCTCCATGGGCCTCTGCCTCTTTGTCTTCTTAAAGGTAAGAGGGCTCACTCGAAATCCCTGGACTACCTCAATCTAGATAAAATGAGCATCAAGGAGCCAGCTGACACAGAAGTGCTTCAGTACCAGCTGCAACACCTAACTCTGCGTGGGGACCGCGTGTTCGCCCGGAATAACACATGAAATGACTGGCGCAGAGTGCCAACCCGCGGAGGTCAACCTACACTTGGCTAGACCACACACTCGCAGATAGACACACACACACACACACACACACACACACACACACACACACACACACACACCACACTCCACTGTTCCTGACTTCACATCCCAGGTGGTTCTATCAGCTCCGTGTTTCTGGAACCTAAAAATTGTGGGGGTTACACTTTGAACACAGGAATGAAATCACACAGGTCCTTGGGCAAAAATAAATTTGGAGCAAGGCAACTGCAAAGAGAGCAGGATGTTGATCGCCTATCTGAACAGCTTTCCAGCCAGGGCTTTTGGGGCAGGACTTTGGTGTTTCTGATTCTGACACTCAGACTGGAATGTTATCTGCTTCGTTGTTGCTGACTTGGTATGATTGTTTGAAATCTCTTCTGTACTTCTGGAATCTCTGTATTTTACTATAAAATGTATGTGATGATTTGTTTTATGAAATTTAGAAACTTGAACATTGCTGAATTGGACCACTTTTTATTTTTAAATATTAAGTTGAACTATTTTATAACTGGTTTTGCACTGAAAAAAAAAATTAACATTTCAGATGAAGAGCGAAGTCTTACTTCTCTTGCCTCAATAATATTATTGAGCAATGGATTTCTTTTTTTATTTCCGCATGGAAAGTTATTGATCTCTATGGCTGTAAAATATTTCTTTATAGCGTTATTAAAGTGTGTCTTAATAACATTAAATTTGGGATACAAAGTATTTATTTTACAGAGGGAGGGGTGGAAGCTTTTCTAGAAAGTTTCCAATACAAGGTTTTCCTAAGTCGGAAAAGTTTCCTTAGCACTTATTTTCTAATTTAACATTCATCGGGAACTTTAAAATGGGAAGGATTCTTTTAATTGTGGAGTATAGGCAAAATACTGTTTGCATCTGAATTTCCTGTTAGTGAATTAAACTTTATAATAGTGGATCTCATGATCTCTACTAGCGAATGCTTGAACTAAATATGAAGTAATACCATTCAGCGCAGCATGGGCTCAATCCAGTTTTAGTCCTGTGCCACACAGCACTCATTGAAATTCCAGTTTCTAGGATTAGTGTAGGAGCCTAAAGCGCTTCTATAGTTTTAATGGGTTAATCCTGGATTACTTAACAATTTATGTCAATTGCACTGGTTTAATTTGTTGCTAAAGAAACAAAACCTTGGCTTTAGTAACAAACACACTTCAACTATTCTTGAATTTACTCTGGGGAAGGAAAAAAATATATATAACTTACCTTTTGTAAGTGTTTCTGTTTCTTCTTTTGGTTTCTTTCGACTCTTGAAGGTGCAATTTATTATCAGATTGGCATTCCTGGCAGCATAGAATTAGCAGATTTCAAGCTTTATTTTGGGGGGCTGTGAGTTTCTTAGGAGTTGGAGCTCTTACTTTTAAAATAAAAACACCTTCTAGTTAAACGAGGGGGTCATTCCTGGTGCAATTGTGATTCTCTTTGAGCCAGAATGAATGACAGGCTGTATGTAGAGCAGCCCCCCAGAAACCCTAGGAACTCTTAATCCATTTTAGGACACTTTGCCACACTTTCCCTAAGGCACACGGTGTGAGAGATGCGAGAGCCTTAGGAAGGTGGGCTTGTATCTTACTGAGTCCGTCACGTTTCCTGATGGACTACAAGTGTTCAGCTGTTGTATATTTTAAAGTAAATTGCACCTTGTAACATATTGTATCGGTGAGTGATCACTAAGGGTGACGCTATACAGTCATTAATTTGACAAGACATAGAATCCTGTCAGATGCCAAAGAGTTGGGATTTTTACGTTTAATGATGAAACATCGTTATTTATTGATGCTTTACCCTGTGGAACTGTATTATTTCTAACTATGAAATAAAAGGGTGATGTGAACACACATGGTTGTGTGGTGTTTTAAGCCGGGTCCGCCGTCAGCAGGTCGGCTGCTTTTCAAGAAGGCCACCCAAGCTCTTTAAAAGGCCCTACGATTGTAAAACAAAACCCCAAAGCATCTTTTGATGCGTACTGGCGTTTCCAAGTCAAGGTTGCATCCATGGCGATGGTATGTGTTCAATCTCCTAGGAACTATGGCTGTTCACCTGTGAGATTTGTTGCTGCCCACATGCCTACCTTTCTTGTGCTGAATAAAAATATGTAGCTTTTCTTTTCTTTTTTTTTTTTTCCATTAAAGATAGGTAAAGATTTGTGGCATAATGGGTTAAAAGTATGAGCAGGGTGAAAGAGGGCATATTGCTATTTTCTGATGAGCAAAGGTATACATAGTTTTAAAGTTCATTTTCTGGAAAGGAAACCAGCGGCTTTTTGAATGTTTGACGAGTGCCTTCATTATTAGTTCAGTCTTGCTTTCGTGTGCTCCTGGGATTTGTGCTGCTATAGTAGGCCTCTTCAAAAGAAAAAGAAAAAAAAAAAAAAGAAAAATAGGATAGATTTCTTTCAGCTGGGGGAATAAAGCCCTTTTTAATATCATTTCTGTGTTTAAGCTTTTTCGTTTCCTTTTTAGCCCGTTTGATATTACCTATTAAAAAGGGCATGCTTTTGACCAGAAATATAACTTACGATGTTCTCCTAGGCAATGCTGGTTACCTTTAAGCATTAGAACGCCACATAAGTAATTTCTTTTTTTCCAGTTGCAAAAGTGCCATATGTTCAAGATTGGGATGATGTGTAAGTTAGCAGGTGGGTGTCAGCAGTGACCTCAGTATGAGGTGGACTGCTTTTATTCCTCCGACTTGCCTCTGGCAGTGCTGTGGGCTCTGGATTGAGGGATGGGTTAACGACCTGCTCAAAATTCCAGGTGCCCTGTCTTCCAGGCCCCTTGATTCCTGTGCATCGTGCCTGTTGTCTGCAGTATCATATTGCTTTCCTGAGATATTCATTTAAATGTTTTCCCTACCAGAGGCGGGGGTGGGGGGGAGGTGGAACCTTGAAAAGAGTTAACCTTCAGACAGGCACGGGCCTTTCAGGAAGGAAAACATTTTCCTTGAAATCTTGAGAAAAACACCTAGTTTTATTTAGTTTCTGCTTCTAACATATTTGGTCCTGGAAAGGCTTTTTTTTTTTTTTCTTGATAAGCTTTGAAGTTGTTTTCAAGGAACCTTGTAGCTGACCCTGACCTAAGTGGTTTGTTCTGTCGGAATGTAGGAGGTAAGAATGTTACAGTTTATTAATAGCATAAATGCTCCAGAAGGGAGAGACAGAGCCAACATGTCCGTTACTGTGATGCTCAGAGGGCAGTGAGTACTAAGTAAAATTGCCTTTTTTAAACAATGTAATTTGATTAGGGAAATGGAAATTGATGAAGAAGATTGCCTGGGAAATATAATAAATGCAATTATAATGCTACAAGAGGAGGCTGTTGGTGCTAAATGAGGCACTTCAAAACTTTCAGTAAGGATTATGAAAAGGACCTTTTTGATATTTTGTGTTAGACAGAAATTTAGGGTTTTGGTGTCTGCAAAGAGCAGTAGCACATTAAGACGCATAGATTGAATTAGTTGTTTTGTTTCTGAGCCCCAAGGACACCTCCTCACTCTGGGCAAGGAAGAGCTTTTCAAATTTGTATTCTTGCTTCACTGAGATGGTCTTGTGCAGGGTTTTAGTAAATGGCTTCAGAGACAAGGCCTGAGTGCAAATCAGAGTGTCCTCATGCCTGGATCTTGAGGTTGTGTTTGATGCACAGGCTGAGTCCAGGCTGGGCAAAGGCACTTGGCATGTGTGGGAGCGGAGGAGTGTCCCTGCACTCCATGGAGTCTGTCGGTGACCCAGGCTGGGGTCCCACCTGGGAAGAAGAGCTTGGTACATGTGCTTTTGCAAAGAGCTAGCAGCGAACTTGGGAAGTTCCTGCTGGGCACCCCTGAGAAGGGTTTTTCTTGTATGCCAGAGGAAAGAGGCGAGAACCAGAGGCCATGACGGTGACCAACATCCTACTTCAGCACGGGAAATGTTCTTCACCAGACTTCAATGGAGAAGCATGTGGAATTACATAGATGAAAGATTTTAAATGCTATGTATACTGCTGAGCGAATGCTTCAGCCAGGAAGAGGATCTTCTTGATTGAACTCAGTGATTTTCAGATTTTTGGCTGAGGGTTAGAGCTGGGAAGGCCGACACTGAGCATGTGGACCACATGGTCCTCACCTCTACGTGGAACAGATATCACGGTCATCCAGGGTCAGCCTTCAAATGAAGCCTCATTGTGTGTGTGTTGTAGTTTTTAACAGCATGCGTGCTGGGAGAGGTGGGGAAAGGCGGCATATAGCACAGGCCAGAGGTGTGTTTTATCGGATACACAGCAATAGAAGAGAGTGGAACAGCAATCTGACCAAGAGGACTCTCCTTTGGTTTTCTCAACACTCAGCCTAGTCACCTGATCTGGATCAAAGTTGAAATGTCAAGGTAATTTTCTGCAAAGTGCCTCTGGAGGGAAGTCTTGGAGAAAAAGAATGACAGGAGGGCAAAATCTTAGCAAAATAAGCAAGTGGAGAGGGTCAGGATGCGTCATTGGTATTCTGCAGTGACCTTGGCAGTGTTGGGTCTCTGCTGAGCCCAGTGAACCTGCTCTGCAGGAGGCACAGTGGAAGGTCGAGGGGGAAGCACTGAAGCACGGGAGCAGAGGCTGGAGAAGCGAGAGCTATGACAGAATAAGCAAACAGATGGATGCTCTGTACTCTCTTCCCTGTATCTGAGGTGGGTTGTGGTGCAGGTGCTGCAAAGAGAAGATGTGCATGGTTACTTAGGGTCAAAAGTACATTTAAAAAAAAATCTTTATTCACTTATTGGTTTGAAAGGCAGAGACAGAGGGGAGGGATCTCCCAGGTGCTGATTCATTGCATCTATGCCCACAATAGCTGGGCCAGACGGAAGCCGGGGGACACAGGACCTCAGTCTGGTCCCTTACTTGCCTGGCAGGGACTTGTTTTTTTGTGCCATCACCTGCTGCTTCTCAAGTGGCTTCTCAGCAGGAAGCTGGCTTTAGGAGCAGGACTGGAATGTCAGCATCCTATGGGATCGCTGAATTGTGATGTCTGATGACCATCCCAGAAGTACATTTAAAAATATGTACTCCTGGGCCCGGCACAGTAGCCTAGTGGCTAGAGTTCTCACATCACATGCACTGGCATCCAATATGGGCACCAGTTCTAATCCCAGTGGTCCTGCTTCCCATCAAGCTCCCTGCTTGTGGCCCGGGAAGACAGTCAAGGATGGCCCAAAACTTTGGGACCCTGTACCCACTTGGGAGACCTGGAAGAGGCTTTGGACTCCTGGCTTCAGATCGGCTCAGCTCTGGTCATTGCGGCCACTTGGGAAATCAATCATGAGATGGAGGATCTTCCCCTCTGTCTCTCCTCCTCTCTGTACGTCCGACTTTGCAATAAGAATAAATAAAATCTTTAATAAAAAACATATTCCTGATACAGTTGTCTAAGAACTGAGATTATATTGTTTTCCCTCAAGAAGGAGAATGCTTGATGAAAAAAACCTGCATGGATTTCATGTGTTTTTGATACCATAATAAAGTTATCTTTTAGGTCCATTTTTTCCATGAACATTTTGAAGCAACCTAGTTAGATCGTCTTTTGAAATGATCAACTCAAATACTGGCTTTGCTGGCAGATTCCTGCACTTTCCTGTTATTTGTAAAACTGGAGTAATATTATTCCTTTAATATTTTACATGTATTTTCAGTGTTGTGCTTATCTAGTAAGATTTGATTGCCATTAACAAATAGCATCAGAATATCTATAGGATTTGAGATAGTTGGAGGCTTTGTCCCCTATGCCATTATACTCCATCTAAAAGATGGACAAGCAAATATATATATTTGTGTGACTGTGAATAGAAAAGGCAAAACTGCTTCTCTGCTTCCAGTCTGTGCTCACTACAGCTCTAAGTGCCAATTTTCCTACAGTTAGCAGGAACAATAAAAGGTTGGGATGGAACCAGGCTCTGTGAATATGTGATTGTACCTTTTTGGAATTATAGAAATTTCCACAAAACATTCTGTATCTAGAGGCTTTTCAAAGCAGATTCCATTCCTATAGATTGAGCAGTGCTATCTGAGTTCATAACAACCCTCTATGTGGTTGGTTACTCTATAAAACATTTGTACCAACAAGTCTCTTTTATGTGGGCTGTATAACAAGCACCTGCCCATTCACAGCCTGGGTATTAGCCGACATAGGAGTCTGGTTGTAATAACTGTCACGCCTCCGATTCTTTCCATTAGAGCTTTGCTTTGAAATCAGTCAGTATTGTAGGATATATTTTGTTCTACCTTTGCCTAAATGACAGCTGTTTAGATTTGTGTAAGGATGTGTTCAGAACCCACTGTGTGAAGAGAATGCTTTTGACGTTGTACCCAATTAAGTAGGTGGCTAAAGATGATTGTTAATGGTCAGAAACATGTGAGTTCTCGCTCAGTAAAATATCAGACATTCTTTGTTTTGTGTAAATATGAGTAAAATCTAAGTTATCTTGGAGTTGGATTGTCACAACAACTCTCTCACTGGCTTGACAACTTGACAGTTAAGTGCGTTTATTAATATTCAATTCAAGAAAGAAACTTTGAAATTGCTACTCTAAAGCGAGAGAAATAATTTCACTTCATATTTGAAGAAATATGTGGTTAAGTTCAAACCAAGTCAGTCTCTGTACGGGGGCTTAGGGATAATTTCTCATGATTTGTTCAAACCTCTACAACAGTTGTAGTATGAAAAATGAAAGGAGCAGTGTAAAAACCAAGGGGAAAAAAAAATCCAACTTAGTTCCGTAACACTCATCTCCTGTTTGTAAAGTTGTTGCCTGGATTGAATTTATAATGAATTTTCCAGCTGCAGGTTTCCAAGTTCATGCCTGTGTTTGCAGTGCCAGGAGCTG